GCCGAATTCTACTGTGAACAAGAGAACTCCACCACCGAAACCGATCAGAAAATCGAAATTGTCTCCAAAGGCTTCAGGTGGACTTGTTGCTATGAATAGCACGCATCAGATGATCACAGAAGTTAGTCAGAAGAATTCTGACCAATCAACATACGAATTAGTTGAAACCCCGAGAAGGGATAGTCAAAACACGGCTGACGAACTATCAACAATTGAAATTTCTCCATTAGGCAGCATCTCGTCCTTCCATCAAAGTCCTGAATTGAAGAAAAACTATTTCAACAGACACGACGTGGTGAGAAGAAATTTGAATATAAATACTAAAAAACCGAAGATGGTGGACAATCATGAGCAGTCCGAATGTCTGAAGTGCGTACATTCGACGATGTTAAACTCAACAAATCACGTTTTTTTGGAAGAGGAAAAGAAATCTGATTTCGTGAACATGAACGGAGTACCTATCAGTCCGATCCGCAAAGACTTGAGTGAAAAGCACAGCGAAAAAAGTTCATCATCGACTTTGCCAAAGAGCAGCGAATCTTCAAATGGAAATTATAGGACCACAACAGATACAGAACATAGTTCCGGTTTACCAAACTTGAATGCAGTCGAAAGAAAAGATGTAAGTATATTTAGTTTGAAATATCTTAGAACGTATTAACTAACACATGCATTTATATCTCTTTTCAGAACTTCGATGCTATTATTGATTATGGGGACAATACGTACGCGATCCCAAATAGGATAGACGGAACGTATTCTGTGATCGTCAACGTGACCGAAGCATTCTTCCGCTTGAAGAAAGAAGCAGACAAGCAGTGCTGCATCATGAAGCAAGCATCGAAAGCTCTGGATTACTGCAGGAAGTACAAAGTTGTAAATCTGAGGGCTATGATCGAAGCTGAAAAAATTATGCTTCTAGCAAGTAAGTCTCATTTAAAGTCAATTGTAGTGAGCTGTTGCTAATTATTCGATTCATTTTCCAGGCACCAAATACGACATCATGCTGACCGAGATGCGCGAGAACCTTGGTAAAGTGCAGAACAGCGTGAAGAACGTGCGTTCCATTAAAATCGGGGCGTTGATCATCAACCTGAAGACCCAGAGGAAAGAAAAGGAATGGTTCATCGCGGTGATGTCACACCGCGAACAAGTGTTCAACACAAAAATGATCGAAGTGTTACCGCATCAGAAGCATCTGATTTTCGACGAAGAATTCACCTTCACCAACGTCACCGCCGGTTTTAAAATTAAAATCGACATTTACTCCTACAGCGTGAAGTATGCCGGCAAGAAGGCTTTCATAAATAAGGTACGTGTGATCAAAGCTATATGCAAAAAATAACATTTTACTAACTGTTTCAATTCGTTTGCAGAGCATCAGTTCTTTTTTGAAGAAATCGCGCGATCTATTCTCCAAGGATTCGCAAGTGAATACAAAAGTGTCTAAAATCGTTGAATCGTCCTTCAAATTGTCCGCTTCGCTGGAGGTGAGCGTGGAAAATATTAACAATAAAGTATCAAACACGTTCACCAAAGTTGATTCCAACTCGTCGATCGTCGGAGACTTGAAAGTCGATGCTCAAATCACAA